TTGCGGCTATTGCAAGGCCAATATCTTCTCTCGCAAAGAAAAATATTGTGTTTGAATGGGGAGAAAATCGCTTTCTCAACCTTAAAGACTAAGTTAGTGGAACGACCTGTTCTGGCTATCTATAACAGGGAAGCCGTTACGGAGGTGCACTGTGATGCCAGCATGATTGGAATAGGCGCATTTCTTTTTCAAAAGCAGGAAGATGACACCTTAAAGCCTATACAATATTATAGCCGCACTACAACACAGGAAGAACAAAAATATCACTCTTATGATTTGGAGTCATTGGCAGTGGTAGATGCACTAATAGTCAAGGGCTAATTTTAAAAAAAACATAGTTCGCTTGCAATTTTGTGAGGCAATATTGTGAGATGCCTTAAAATTAATTAAGAACATCATGCAGAATAAGATTTTTTTTGGTACCAGCCCCGTATCCATGTCAGAGGTGAGAAATACCCCCTTCTTTATTTGGGCAGAGTCTAATTTTTAAAAAGTTTTTCTTGACGTAAAATATTGATATTGGTGACGTTTTCGTATAACTTTAGGCCGGCAAATTCAAATATGAGGTAATTTTTCAAAAATAACCCCTGGATGAGGGCATATTTATTAAATTTAAGGTCAAATATAGACACTTTTCACACTTTCCCAAAAAGTTATGTGCTCCACATCTTAATCAAATATATATGACACGGTTATATATAGGCACTTTTTCCGATACGAAAAAAGAAAGGTACTACCAATGGAATAAATCCACTTCTGAAAGGCAAGCGTCGGCATCTAAATCAATGAAAGAACCTTTCGAGAACTACCGCAATCCTTTCCAGCGCGAAGATAACAATTTGGTTAATTTAATTACCAATCGCATAGCTAGTGAAGACGTTCGTCCTGATGTGCAAGGTATGAAAGATATATAGGAAAGACCAAGGCTGATATATTTTATAAGACCAGAATTAAAACATATGTAGTCAGTTTTTGGGATCCAGTAAAGGCATTAAAATTAAAGCTATGTAGTTTTATGAAAAAGAAAGTCAAATTCAATACTAAGCACGGAGTCGTCGAATTACGACAAGATCAAAATATTTTTACTAGATGTATCCTTATTTATCGTAGTCGGGATTATGTTGATTTATCTACTCTTTCTCGTTTTCTAATGGATCATTTATTAAGTGTTCCGCAAAAAGTAATCTCATGTCCCATTTGGCAGAACTTATAGAAGATGATATAGAAACACCTCATGCATTATCTGATGTCTTAAGTCTAACAACTTCTGTTGCAATCATAGACAGTATGGCAGAAGTTCAAATGATGTCCTTAAACAACATGAAATTTCTTTCGGATTTTGCAGACGCATTTGTAACCAACATTTTTTCGAAGTATAAAATGTTTAATGAAATTCATATAGTCTTTGATTCCTAAAATGAAAATTCCTTGAAATCTGTAGAACGAACCAGAAGACAAAAGGGAATTAATAGATCCAGTAAAATATAATGTCCATGACAAAACTAATAAAAAAAACCTTAATATAAGAAAATTGTTATCGCATACAACTACAAAAGATAAACTAACCGGATATCTCTCCAAAAAACTAGTGGAAAAAACTTCCATTCCAGCAGTCACAGTAATTTGTTTATATAGATCAAATATTGTTACCAACAACAAAAATCAGGATATGTAATTTCTAGAAAGCAGTCACGAAGAGGCAGATACAAAAAGGTTATTTTATGCAGTACAAGCATCTAGTAAGGGCGCAAGTGGAATTAGAATTTTTTCTCCTTATACGCATGTTGTAGTATTAGCTATAAGGCGATTTCCTCTCTTGGCAAGTAATCCAGCTTTTGTAAAAATAGGTTTTAACAGCCGCGAGTTTCCATTGCAGACCATCTACAATAAATTAGGTTCCCTAGAAGCTGCAGCGCTTCCCGCTTTGCATGCATTGTCTGGCGCAGACGTAACTGGTTCTTTTAGAAGAAAATAAAAAAACTACTGAACGACAAATACTCTGGAAACTCTGGCATCCTTGGGTGAAACCGAAGAGATTCATCACTGTCCGAGTTGACATTGTGGACATTTTCAAAAAAACAAATTTAGGGGAGAAAGTGCAGTAAAGGTCGGTTACAAATAAACAGTATTTTACTTATGCGGACTAGCTAGCACTATACGGACGGGTTAGTGAGAGTTAGTTTGACTTAATCTGCATTTTCTTAATTAAATAAAAAACTCATTAGGTGTGCGAGTTATACTGCATATTTATTTAGGAGAAAAAGTGCATTATAGCTCGGTTGCAAATAAACAGTATTTTCAGTACAAGTTTAATTTGTAATTTTTCAATTAAAGATTTACAGATTTTTGAACAATTTTCTTTGAAATGCACTATTTAGATGTTTAACAAACAAATTTTAATAAAAAAAATACATTTTAGGTGACCGGGCTATACTGCATATTTATTTAGAGGGTGAAGTGCAGTAAACCAAACTTCCCGAGTGTACTAATCCAACCTACAAACAACAAATTACCGAGTGTTCTGAGACACATACAACCATGCACCAAAATATATTAATATAAATCTCTCAATAAATCGGCGAAATTTTATACAATCTTGCCTGATGATTAGAAAATTCACGACTGGATTTTCACCGATCAATGGTAGAGTAGCAAAGAGTAAACTCAAAACGAACAAAACCAAATTATTTAGAAAATTCTAGCAGAAACTACGCGCTATAAAACGGAGTCGGTCACCTTCTTTTTTTTTAAGTGCCTTGTCCTCTACAAACGTTGGCTTGATGCTTTGCTGGTAGAAATGAAATATTTCTAATATGTATGCTTTATGGCTGGCTAGACTTAAATATAAAAATAGAACTCATCAATCATCCATATATGTTTGATCATGTTTTGGTTCATTTAATGCAAATTTATACATTCCATTACAAAATGTTCAAGAAATAATAAAGAAATCCCAAAAATTCAACTGCTGTTGCAGAAGCTTTAATAAAATTAAGTAGCGATAAGGATCCTGAGCTTTACTATATTAGGTTTATAAAATTAAAGAAAACATACTCGAGTATAGTTCTAACAGTTGTTTGAAATTACTTTCGCGAGAATAATAATTATGTTACGATGCCGTTTGTTTATTATTTTTGTGTTGAGGCACTATAAAAGCGAGCTGAGAGAAAATATCTCGGTGGATTAGATAGGTAATCCATTAAAAAGTTTAACAACGAAAAATTTAACCATTTTTATTTTGTTATATTATAAAATAACCATATATGAATATCTCTACGCTGAATAACTCAAAATACCAAAAATAACATCCCTATATTCATATGCAAAAGTATTCATAAAGGCCTAATGCTCACTTAGGGGCCTATAAATATTATTATATTGTGGGAACTGACCAGCATATATGTTTTACGATGTTTTATTATAGTCAATTTTCGTTTAGCAATAGGTAAATTTTACTTAGTGGAAGCTCTATGTAGGAAAACGACCGCAATTTAATACATTGTAGATGGCAAAGGTGTGCAGCTTAATCGCTCATTCCACTAGCTTTTAGGATTTAATTGAAATAATGATAGAGCAAGATGAGACTAAACTGGTTAGTGTTTGGTAAGGAAATAGAATCTTCGAGTGAGAGGGAATATAAGACTAAATCAACAGCATGTGTAGAATCTTCTTACAGAATATCCTTATGCAATTTGCGTATTATTATGCCTTCGAACTCTCCCAAATTCAATAATAAAATATAAATTCACAATCAAATTATTTTTAGCTAATAATCACGCACACACTCGTTCAAACAGAAAAAAAAAAACGAAACCACAACAGCATCCGTATTAATATCGAAATTCTCGTGGGGAGAAATTCCCAAACACGACCCGAGGAAGTTCGGGGTCCTTGGGGAAATGCCGCCACCACTCTATACGGTCCGCCCAAGAAGTTTTCACATATTGACTGATTACTGTGAACTTGGAAAACTTATTTTCCTGACACTGTATTTTGATCGAACCGGCCAATTTACTCTTTGTGAGAATAAAACGCGATCTGTTCTCGGTTTCAGGAGGGTGCTGATGGCGTGTGACGGTGAATGATTTTTTTTTCATCTGGGATTTTTCGGCTATTCGTGTTGTTCGTATATATTGGCTGGTATTTTATTTGACGATTGCTTGTTTTGTTTTATTGAGCCCATTTAGTTTTTCTCGAAAAAGATTATTTATTCTATATAACTTAGAGCCAAATGTTGGTTCGGTAGTTTCATGAAAAATGCTGTGGGCTTAAACCAAGGCATAACAAACAGGAACACAATAAGTAGATCCAAACAAACAACTTTTCGTTTTATCCTGGAAAATGTAACGAGCATGCAAGATAATATTATAAGTCTATAAAGATACCGGATACTATATACTTATTTAAAATGAAATTTTGCTTATAATACACGTCGGAATACCAGAATCCTTTCAATGCAGCAACCACCCAGAAAAGGATTGAGCTCTTTAGAAAATAAATTTTAAATTGGATTTCATCTAAAGGAATTTCACTTTATTATTTTGCATTATAAAAGATCAAACCGTAGCTAAAGGAGTTTCGGGATACAAATCCAAATTTAATATTTCCTTTAGTAAACAGCAGTACAATGTAGTTCTAAACATACCATACCTGCATAAATATATAAAATGCGACTTAACGACAGAGCTTTACACGTTGGTGGCAACTTATGAGGTAATAAGCAGACTATTAAGAGATAATTGTTTCAGCCATTGAAGAAAAATTTAAGGTAATTCTTTTGGGCTAGCGAAACTATAGGAGGTCAGTCGGAGTAAGTAAATAAACCCAGGAGATCAATGCAGTCCGCACCAACTCCTAACAAAAAGTGAAATGGCTTCATTACTCGTAAGGTTGAATTCGTCTCATTAATGTACCATGTCAGAAAATATTGGCAATGACGTGTAATCAATTAATATTTATACCTTATCCAGTCATAAGATTCAGAATTATGCGATACTTACCATATGTTGGAGGAATAAGATCCGGATTATTATCATCATCCGGAATACTATCAGTCATAATAGGCTGGGCCAAAACATTCGAAGGAGTCTCTTCCAGTTTCGGTCTGCCTACAGGTTGACGCCTTACTGGTGTATCAACCTAAAAATTCACAAAACCATTACGTTCATGACAAATCGAATAACAAACATTTATTAGAAATCCCCCTCGCTCCAACCCAAATTGCACCAAAACGACAAATATTTATCAGATAAACGGAAGTGGATCGCCGTCATTTGCGATGTGTTTATTTAATCTTTAATCGGAAATGTTCGCGATTGATTTAATACGACAAACTGTCCGGAATCGGGAGGATAACCGCGCTAGACGGAGAGAGGATTTTTTAATTTCGCCACCGAAGCGGTCGGAAGTAAATAAAATTCGAAACGAATTTAAAGGACATTTTGATTGCGAGTTCTGGTTAATGAGTTTAAAAGACCCCGAGATCGGTAAATCGTCTGTACCGAGTGATATTGTCTGGGATGGTGTTGGCAGAGTTTAATGAACTGGCGTGTTTAGATTGATGTGTATGTACTTTAATTTTGTGTTATTTAGTTTTTGAGAAAAAAAGGATATCTTTGTGTTTGAATGAATTGCACATCGTGTACTTTTGAATTATGTAAAATTTAGGTATTTGAGAAGAAAGGTAAGGATAATAGCATAATGAATATTATATATTGTATGTGATCGAGAAAAATTCGAACAACGATTATTGACTTTTAGAGCTGCACATCAGCAAGGCAAGTCAGGATATAAATCCACGAGGTAAGTTTCTGTATGACTTTGTAATAGGTGATGATCTGTTCATATGTAACAACGGCACAATACGGCGCGTATCTGATGAAGTTTCTATGTCGGATCACCGATGGATAACTTTCACATTAAACTACTCGCCTAAAACCACAAGACCCAAGAAAAACCAATATTGCACAGTACGTGCAAGGTTTGGAAAAAGCTCTACGAAAAGTTATAGTTAAAACACTCGATGATGACTAAGAAATCGAACGGTATGCCAATACCATCCAAGGTGCCATCTTAGAATCGTATAAGATGTCAAGCTCACTGAGGATGTTCCAAAACTCTGGTAACACCTCTGCTTAGTGATGTCAGGAACTGGAACACCTCAGGGCGACGACAAGAACAGCTTTCAATAAAGCTAAAAACACCAAACTATCTGAGGATTGGAACTTTTATAGGTACCAACTCAACCAGTATGAAAAAGTCGTATGACAAAAACAAAGAGATGCCTGGAGGACATACTGCAACGAAATGGAAAACTTTACGGAAGCTGCGAGACTTCAGAAAGTTCTTAATATAGACCCATTTTGGGAAATTGGTATCCTGTGCAAGGAGGCTGGTACCTTCACTGCAAACCTTCGAGAAAGCACATAATTACTACTAGCAACCCACTTTCCACGATTGTGGAGGATCAGACGCATGTTACATTCATACCCCCTTGTAACTGATTGACAACTAGCAAATCAAATAATATACGAGGAAACAATAGGTTGGGCAATTTCAGGCTTCTCCGCCGAATCTATCCAGCCCTACTTCAGTGGGGTCTGAAGCCACTCTTGCCGCACCTGGTAGGGATGTTTAGGGCGTCCTTGGCACTGAGATACATACCCAAGGCTTGGAGAGAAGTTAAAGTGGTGTTCCTACCCAAACCAGGGAGGATGGACTACACCACCCCCAAGGCATATCGCCCCATAAGCCTCTCATCTTTTTCTCCAAAAACAATGGAGAAGCTATGCGAAAGGTACATAAGGGGAGATCAATGGACAAAAGAGAGTCCGCCCTCGGGGTTTCATCGACATTGAGGGGATCTTTGACACAAGAGGCTGCCCGCAGGGAGGCGTGCTATCACCTCTCTTGTTGATCCTGGTTCTGGATAGTCTCATTGTCCGCCTAAACAATGACAACCACTACACAATAGTTTAGGCAGATGACGTAGTCATCTTGCATAGAGGTAAATTCGAGAACTCGCTTTGCGAACGCATGCAACATGTTCTTCGAATTATAGAAAGATGGTGCACGGAATACACTCTGTCCATTAACACCAAAAAGACTGAAATAGCCCTATTTACATGAAAGAGGAAACTGGTACTACCGACAGCACCCAGACTCTTAAATACCGAACTAAGTTTTGCCGCCACGGTCAAATATCTGGAAGTGACACTCGATTGCAAATTAACATGGTATTCTCATATTGCTAAGAGAATACAGAAAGTATATATCGCGTATGAACAGTGTAGTCGGTAAAACCACGTTTAAAGAATGACATGCCTCAACATAATGCATGGTGCATGGTGTAATGAAAACCACATCAAACTAGGGCTTTGGAAGTAATTCGATGTTTGATGCCCCTGGATACTTATGTTAAGGAGGTCGTTTTATTAACCACAATGATGTACTTGCGCACTGTTGGAATAGAACCAAATGCAGAAGTCGGTTCCATTGATAAAGGGCAGATTGGACTCTGCAACATCAAGTTTCGTCTTCAAAAAGCACTACGCAATCAACACGAAAGGCATTGAAAACAGCACAGTGGCAGGGGTAAGTAACAGCCACACTGATGGTTACAAAACTCAAACAGGCTCGGGATACGAAGTATACTCCAAAACTCTCAAACTGAACCAAGCTATAGCCCTTGTGCTGTGTAGCTATAGACCTAATGTCTTCCGAACGGAAATTACTGACATAACCATCATGGCCGAACAAAAAGTCAGCAACAATATCACTGACAAGATCGTGCACATCCACACGGACTGCAGACAAGCAGTAGTAGCGCTATCTAGACCGCGACTCACGTCAAAACTAGTACAACATTGCCATCGTACTCTCACCGAAGCGTCGATCAAAAACACGGTGGTAGTCAGCTGGATCAAAGGACATGATCACAGCAAAGGCAATCGGGCTGCCGATGCTCTAGCTAGCAGGGCCGACAGGCTACAGTCTGCTGGACCGCAGCCCTTCGTAGGGCTGACAATGTCGGCGGCCAGAGATATGATTAAAAAAACGCTCTCATACCCTTTTTAAAAAGCGCTGGGACGATATAATTGGCTGCAACTTATCCAAGGAACTGCTAAGCTATCCAGATAAAGCTGCAGCGAACCAGAAGCTGTCGTTGACCAGGAAAAGGCTACGCCTAATAACGGGCATCATGACTGGCCACTGTCAGTTAAACAAACATTTGTTTAGGTTACATCTCAGTACCACATCCTTGTGTAGGGCTGACTGCACTGCCCTTTTGCCAATACGCAGAGCCAGGTTAGCTGAATCGTACTCATCGTTAGAATAGTGCAGAGGCACCGTCCTCGGCGACGTCATCGCTTACGTGGAATCGCTAGGCTGGATGACATGCACAATGGGCCTAATGTGGCCTAAGTGCTGTGGAATATACCACCCTCCCAAACTAACAGATACAGAACGTCATCTTTGTGTTTAAATGAATGGCACATCGTGTACTTTTAAATTATGTATAATTTAGGTATTTGAGAAGAAAGGCGAGGATAATAACATAATGTATGTTTGATATTGTATTTAGTCGAGAAAAAATCGAACAACGATCATTGATCCCACATCCTAGCCTAAGCTTCATAGACACAAGTAGTAACTCGTTCAGAAGTTCTAACATCCAAACTTGTACTTTAGAATAAGTCACTGGTAAGTCATTTTTCGAGTCTCATGAAAGTTTTGGAAAACTTGCTCAGTACTCAATACACTCACTATCGCGAACATTTTTCTATCCATTCTCTCCAATCAAGACATTATTTCGTTGATAAATACATGTCAATTTTATCTATGATTTCAAACAACCATAAATATCAAGGGTAAAAAGTTCTTGCCGTTTAAACTTAGATATTCTAAATTCATAAATCAAGAAGTTTAGGATTATTGGAACACATCATTTGTTAATTGAACATGTCCGCAATTGAGGGAACATTTGTACCTACAGCCAATAGATTAGGCTCAGAGTAGATTCGTTCTCATTAGTGTTTAACTCGTACCGGGGTATTGTTCTGCGCATAGCGTCTATTAGATGTATGTCCTTATTATGTGCCAAATTGGCTCTATTAATTTATATTATTCCGCTTGTTCGACTGCATACGTAAGTTCTATTGTTTGTCGATCCTTTCGAGATATTACTGAAAGCAAGCTATGGAACTTTTAATATAATACATTACTTTCAATTGAAAATGTAGCCCAAAATGTTTACTGAAAGCTGCTATTTCTATTTTTAAACAAAAAAACAAGTTTCATAAGAAGTAATTTGTACTTAGAAGCAAATAAACGTTCGCTAAACTATCCGGCTTCGAACTCAATGTTAAAAATAAATGTTAATTAAAGTTTTACAGGCCAACAATAGAAAACCAACTAGAGAAAGAACGAAATAATAAAGTTGGCCAGTTTATTTCGCAAAAAGAAAATTCAATTTGCGCTTCTAATCCTGGCCGGACTTTGTTGTTGAGGCTTCGTAATAAGTTAAGAGTGCTTAGAAATTCTGGCTAATTCCAATTTTGCTTATCAGATGAGAATGAGAATATGATCGTGGTGATTTGCTTTATAATTATATTTTTGATGCGTAGTCAGATGGGAAATTTTACTATTTTTGCCAGGGCAGAAAAGTCTTTCGTCTTTCTCAAGGGTTCATCAGAAGGTTCTATATTAGATATTATCATTTAAGTTGTCGTAACTCTTTGAATATTCCATTATCTCATGCAAATTTTCTCTTAAATCACTAGCTACGACTTTCGCTATTAACTTAAATAATTTGCCCCTTAATTATTCGATAAACAATAATGATTCTCACCCTAAATCTTCTAACCGCAAAAACGACAAGTGCAACAGCGGCAGCTACAATAAAAGTGGATCCTCCAGCTAATAGAATGTACAACCACGGACCAGAAATTCCTATTTTGGGTTTTTCGGTTGGTTCTGTGGATCGTCTGAGCTCTTTTAGGCCAGGAGCTGGTAAAGTACGCATCAGGATAGGTGAAGTGAACTTTGAAGAACCTATAAAAAGTTTGTTTGTTTATAAGAAGTTTGTTTTCATTTTAAACGAGACAAGACCTGATGAGAAAGCTTTGTATTTTCTAGCAAAAAAGTTAAATAAAAAAAAAGACCTTTTTCTTAGCTGAAAGTTAAATTTAATGTTTTTACTGTCTGTCTTTAAGCCTTTCAATTAAGAGATCAGATCCGAAAGTTTAAATTGATTTTTCTGCTCGCCGGAGTTAAATGGAAAGGCTAGTTATTGGAATTAAGGAGTTTTTTTTTTCTTGTAGCTTTTACTCAAAATTGAATTTTTCTGTCAAACTCATAGCATTATTTTTTACTTATATGTATACTGACAAAAATGGAAATTACAAACCTTTCGAGTTGATCGAATAAATTGTGGCGTAATATTCTTGGGCTGGTTCCAAACTAGGAATGTAAAATTCGGGACTGGTGAGAGCCGAAATATTGGCAACCGGCAAGTCTCCTGAGTATAAGACCAGCACGAATTTTTGCTTCAAACCTGAAAAATAAAATCATGATAAGTGAATATTGAAGAGGCACTTTTTGCGGCCAATAATGCTAATCGATGTGATGAATATATTGTTATGTTATGCTACTGCTTTGCTACTACTGTCGCGCCACTGACCTACAAGCTACCACGTTTATTCAGCATAGTTTTTAAGTTTCCCATATTATATTTTATTTTACAGCTTTTTCCTCAGAGATCATTCTTGAATCAACCTCCGAACAAGATTGTCAATTGGGACTTTTTAACTTCAACTTTAATGTCAATCGCGACTTAATTATGGCTAATCGGGTTATAGTACTAATAGGTTACGTTTTGATGTGTAATTGTTCAATAAACGTTACAACGAAATAAAAGAACTTAACAATATTCGACTACATTAAAGCAAATTGGGGTCAATTTCCCCTGCAACTTCAGAGTGATTATCAGTGAGAAACATAGAGAGAATCGTGTTAATCCAACTTGGCGAATCGTCTTGGGGTAAATTTGAATACCGAAGTTTCAAAGCAAAATGGAGGCCGATTGTGACACATGAGGATTATAAAGGTAATTTCGCTTCGCCTGTGATTTATGCGGAGAATGACTCGATACAGGATTACCATGATATTTATTGTAAAGAAATTATCATTCGCAAAAACGCAAGTTGGCCATTATCGACTTACAAATTATCCCCTTGTTCTCTGGCAAACCTTGAGAGCATATTTCACTCCAGATAAAAACACTTGGGAAAGTTCAGGCGTTTCCATTTAAAGCGCGGTTTTAATGGTTCGCGATAAGGACCATCGGGTTTTTAGGATGAGGAGGATTTGGTGAAATTTCGACACAACCTTTTTTTTTTTTTAATTTGAAGCGGGAGGATTCATATTTACGTTATTGCGATATTTAATTAAAAGCAATTCACTGGAAAAGAATCACTGAGATATTAGGATTAGAAAAATTGACAATACAAAACAAAGAGATCACTGGAAGAAGAGCTATATAGAAAAATATCAAAGGCCTATCGGAGATTACAGGGTTATGGAAGAAAAGGAGAACATAGAATCTAAACCTAACTTCAATAGTTTTGTGTATTACCAGTGTAATGAGGCAATTACCACTAAAGAAGTAGAATTGTAAATTGAAGGATATACACAATAGGTATAATGTATATACATACTGATGAACTATTTGAGATGAAGACAACTTTTAGAAAAACCAATACATTTCCTAGAATATTTGTTTTTTTCTCAAATGTAATTAACAGTTTTGCCTCTAAGATGTTGTTACAAAAACTACAGGTCAATGCAATAATTGAATTGAAAAGCTTCTCAGATCTCCATCTCTCTGTTCTCAGTTCACAGCTTCGGATTGTAAAATAAGATTAGGGTTATGGTCATCGAAATTGTTAACGGCAAACCGTAACTCAATTGTATACTTTACCCGATAAATTCCGAGCAGTTAAATACACAATAGATTGAGCTTGGAAAATCAGCAATAACAAGTTAACAGAAAGTTTTTTCTCGTTGTCGAAAGTTTCGAAGCAAACCGTAATAATTTGCATTTTTTCTACGGAAAAGTTAAAAGTTAGAAATCACTTTCCCTTTGGCTTCTTATATACCGGACATTAATTTAAAGTTGTAGAAAAGGCTTTCAACGACAGCCCTTTGTCAAGCAATTTTTTCCCACCACCGTAAAAACGATTTAGTTTTACATAATTTGCACTTTCTTTTGATTAAAAATAAATTTCGCGTCGTACATTGATAAATTATAAAAGTAAACTTTTTTAATGAAGACACACGACCTACGCTATTGCCCCGGCGGAAATTTGTATTCGAAATTTATTTTTAATTCTCTCTACGATAAAGAAGAAAATTATAAAGCAAACCCAATTAAGATTCCCCTTTACGCCCGTCGATGCCATTAATCACAGGAAAAAGGGCTTTCATCGCCATTTTTTTTTATATTTTTTTAATACTTACGAAACGTGACTTCATCAACGGAAAATAAATTCAAATAAATTTATATTTATTATCGGGACTTTTTTCTCGAAGTTTGAAATAGTAGTTACAAAACTGGTTGTTAGAAGAAATAAAAAAATAATTAGAATTCGTTTTTGAATTTATAAAAGCGTTTATTTTCTTGGTTTTGTTGAATTCAGTGCACTTACGTTTGTTATTTATTCAATTTCAATTTATTTGTCTGTAAATTTGGGCTCTAGTAGAGTCCGGTACATTGTTATTCTGTATCGAGAGTAAAGGCTGAGCTATATTTATTCAAAAGTACATGCCAGTGAATGGTGAATTTTCTGTCGAGCTAGGCTTACTAATCCTGTTTTTCTTTACTTTATTACAGTTGACCAATTTTTATTGTAGTTGAATTTCAAAAGTGCCCTATACATTGTATGTACCATGTATTAAGAGCAAAAGTTGATCTTTATTTATTCAAAGTAATGGCGAGTTTATAAAAAAAATTAACACTTAAACTAATTTAAGAAAATTAACTTACAACTAAGAATTTCAATGTGCGCCTATGTAATTCTTAATTCTTAGTTGATAAGTCTTAATTTTTTTTTTATGAACCGCTACGTTACATATCATAACGTCAACTATTCAAGTTAAATGTTAATTCTTAGTTTAAGTGTTAATTTTTTTTTATAAACTTGTCATAAATTGTATAAATTAATGTTAAGCCAGGCTTTCTGAATCTGCCTTCCTTTTCTATGTTTTATCTATTAATTTTTTTTTAAATTTACTTCAGTATAACCCTTATCATTGCACCTCATATTAGAAGCAAATTATGATCTTCATTTATTTGAAGTTCATCACAATACATTTTATGTTACCCTTGAGCTAGGCTAAACCTCTTTCTTCTTTCTTCAATTATCATTTAATTTAATTTACGTATACTCCGACATGCCGTCTAGTCGATGCTAAAGTTAAGATTTTTTTAATTATTGATACCTGAGAAAATCATGAAATTCCTGTAAAATCACCTTTGAAGGTTCCTGAAAAATACTTTGAGCCATCACAGCAACTTGAAACTTTCAGGACTTAATAATTAAAGAGTTTTCATGATACAAAATAAGTTGCAAGTTGATATGAAACTCTCAATCAAAGTTACGATTTTTTTTACTCATTGATACCTGAGAAAATCATAACATTCCCGTTAAATCATCTCTGAAGGTTCCTGAAAAATACTTTGAGCCATCATAGCAACTTGAAACTTTCAGCATTTATTAACTAAAGTTTTCAAAAAATAGAAAACAAGTTGCAAGTTGATATAAAACTTATAACCAAAGTTACGAATTATTTTACTCATTGGTACCTGAGAAAATCATAAAATTTCTGTCAAATCACCTTTGAAGGCTCCTGAAAAATACTTTGAGCCATCACAGCTACTTGAAACTTTCAGGACTTATTAATTAAAGTTTTTCCATGTAACGTTACCAGATTTTTTCCGAAAACGTGTGCGCCTCTGACTTCAATTTAATTAATTAATTGACTTTAATTCAACTATTTGCTCTAGGTAGTTTTCGGTCAATCCCGCGTAAATGATTTTACCTGATTATCGTATTTTTAATTATTTGTGTAACTAAAGTCACACAACTTTTTTTTAATTTTAAGAAGAAGCGCGGCTTTCTTGAATTTCTCCGAAATATTATTCATTTCTAAATATATTATTTTACGCGTGACCTCGGTGCAAATAGCAGTTTGGCTGGTCGAGGCTGCATCGCTGGTTTTGGACCTATGGTAGCCGAAGCGCGCACAATGGTATTTTCTCCCACGAAGCTTGCCCTTCCATCGTCGAGCGTTTCCCTTACAAACGAACGGCGTTGGGTTAAGTCAGTCCGGCCCGAGTCCACCAACTAAGAAGACGCTTCCGAGTTCCACCGAATACCGAGGTAGGCCTTCTCTCCGAAATACCGACTGGTACCTGTTTCACCGCTACGCGAGTAAGTTATTTTTCATTAATACTTGGTTGGTAAATTATATTTTTGTTTTTACTGTCACGGTTCACTTGGACGGACAGAGTTTAAGATTCTATAGACTATCACGGTTTATGTGTACGGATAGTTTTCGCTATGATATTTATTTTACAAAGTAAAGTTCTATAAACTATCACGGTTTATGTGTACGGATAGTTTTCCCTAAGATATTTATTTTTACAAAGTAAAGTTCTATTAAAAGTTCTATAAATTGTCACGGTTTATGTGTACGGACAGTTTTCTCTAAGACATTTATTTTCACAAAGGTTAAAGTTCTATAGCTGTCACGGTTTACGTGTACGGATAGTTTCTCTTCATCTATTGGTTCATGTTTTAGTGTCACGACATAGTGTAAAGTTCTATAAACTGTCACGGTTCATGTGTACGGATAGTTTTCTCTTAGATATTATTCATACTGTCACGGTTCGTGTGTACGGACAGGACTTTATTTCCACCGCCGTTGCGGTTGATTTTAATCGATTTAAGGTTACCGTATTGACCAACCAAGTAAATTCATGTCTGTATCCGAAATGTCTTACTTAAGTGTGAAACGGGTACATCAGTATTCGAACCAGTTAAAACCGTTAAGATCTGACCGCTTTTGTATTGCATGACCGCTTCTTATTTTCTGTCGCTCACCGCTTGCTTGACCGCTTCTTATTTTCTGTTACTCACCGCTTCCTTATAAACCGCCCGTTATCATTAATCTACACGCACGCACACATACACATTTTCATTCTCTCCATTGCACGCCCGCTTCATTCACTCTATTCACTCTGCTTAAGGAATGTTATATTTTGCTATAGGAATTGCCTTATTGACATAAATTTATAGCAATAAATACCAGAACTTAATCGTGATTTCATGTGTCTTCTTTTGGAGTTTTCTGGAGGATTTACAGGAAGTATAGAAGGAATAACTTCCAGAATCTGATTCGACCCCTGATCTCCACTGTAACAAGCTACCTGGTGCACGTGGGCCTTCAACCACAATAATCCTGAGGGTGGCGCCCGAGATAACCGTTAAAGCA